AATACGTTGATCAATCAGTAATTATAATTAACGTGCGAAATAATTATCAATGCAAAAATTATTAACATGTAAACGGTAACAATTATTAACATATAAAAATTTTACTAATTATAATAGTAATTACATGTACTTGTATATTGTACGTATAAATGATTACGCATTCAGGCATGAAACACATTGGAACAAGTTCAAAATATTTTTTTAAAACATTTAAAAAATTAAAACCCAATACTTACATATATTGTTGTATTAATTATATGAATAAAATATTATAAAGAAGTCAATAAAATACAATTCATAAATTATGGATACATTTTTGTATAACCTTATAGATTTTATTAAAAAATAACGTCGCGTCGTTTTAACGAAATGAAACTAATACGTTTGTTTTATAATTTTGAATACATTTTCATACCTTAATATTTACTAATGTTAATACATAATGAATAACAATTGAATTCATTAATAATGTAAAAGAAAGTAGAGTAAATAATAATGCTGTATGTATTTTTCATATTGTTAATATTACTTACAACATTGTTTTTGTAATGCTTAAAATATGGCATATTTCGTATTAAAAATTATCATTATTCAAAATTACCACTTTTTGATATAGTTGCAGGCGCTCACTGAAAGATATCGCGAAAGTCGTGCGAACTAAAATGTGTATGTAAAACTAGGTACTCAGTGACAACCTGCAACATATTTAGTCTAAATCTTCATATTTCGTATTAATATCGCTCTGTTGTGGCTTGATATTAAAACGCAAGGTTTTATTTCATTATCAAGAATAATTTGAAGTCTAATAATACTTATTAGTTTAATCGTGAAGAATGGCTAATCCTAAATATGCCGATTTACCTGGCATTGTAAGTACTTTATATTTTATGTCAAAATAATGTCAATACAATTTTAATATTAAGTATAACTCACAGTTTAAAATAAAAACAAAATATATATTTTGAATGTCAAATTTCAACAAAATCAAAACTATGATTTCGTGTAGTTTCAATATATGCATTCTTTTCATGATTTATGATATTTTGCTCCTATAAATAGGCATATGATCAAGCTGATGTTTATGAAACCACTGATTTACCAGAATCAGAACAATTTGATATTTATCCTGAGGTATAGTATTAAAAATTACTTACAATTTATTTATTATACAATATTCTATTTAATGGAATTGATATTTTCCTTTTTAGGATGAAAGTAAATCTGTAGAAAAATTACATATTAGTGCCACAGAAGCATTTAATAAGTTTAAAGGTAAACAAGTCATTAGCGAGGGAGTTGATTTTTCAGATCGATTATCACTCAAACCAAGGACAGGCTACAAGTAAGTTTTTTTTGGTAAATAAATATAAAAAGTAAGTTATATGTATTAAATTATATTAAAAATTTCAGATTTGGAGATTGGGAACTACCTGCAGAAGGGGAAAAAGAAACTCCTATTCAAAAATATCAACGCTTGCAATGTGAAATTAAAGAGTTATATGAAGAAGTGAATGAATTAAAGGTATCAGCTGCTCTATCATATGCTGAATGCATTTTATGATATTAAATTTGATTTAAAACATGATAATGTGTTTTATGTCATTTCTATTTATAAAATAGGAAAAAGCAAAAGAAGAAGAAGTGAAATCTGTTGCCGATGTAATTTCTCAGGTGCAACTTCTAGAAAAACAACTTGATTCTTTAAAATTAGAAGAATGCCTTGGAGCTGATCTTGTTGCAACTTTATCAGACCCACAAGGCACAAGACTGCAGTAAGTTTATTTATGTTACAATAAAGTATTTATGATAAAACTTTTCCTTTATTCATATTTTAGGCAACTGGTATCACAAATAGAAGCATTTAAGCAGACAACTATTCTTACCTCTGAATCTGATACAAATACACAGAGTACAAACATTGATGGAACATCTGATGCAGGAATACTCAAGTATCAAATGATGTACCTTCCAGAAAAAGCAAGAATGCAAGAAGCAGCAAGAATTGCAACACTTGAACAAAGACTTTCTAATTTAGAAAATATTATTGGAACAACCAGTGATAAACTTTCCAAATTTTCTCAGGTGACACAACTTATTTCTTACTTAATATTATCTTGCTTAATCTTACTTAATTTATCACATAAATAATATGTTTTTAATTGTAAATGAAAAACTTTTTGCAGAATCTCAAGTGTCAGGGAGTAATTGTAGCTGTTCAAGAATTGGGAGCAAAAGCTGCATTATTAGATAGGTACCAACTGGATATGATTGAAAGCCGATTAGCAACTTTAATTAACAAAATGAATAATATTGCACAAAAAAAGGCTGCACTAACTTTAGATTCAGAACAAGAGCAGAAAGTAAGTTTTTTTTAAATGAATAGTTAAATAACGAACATCTAGATTAGATTTAAAAATTGTAACTAAATTAAATTATTTACATTTTTATTTAAAATCTTGCTTTTAGATTTCAGAAATGTATGACATCGTGAAACAAACTGAAACTATGTCAGAAATTTTACCACAAACTGTTAATCGAATGTTGGCATTAAATACTATACATCAGCAAGGTGTGTTCCTAACTACATTTATAGTACTTTATATGTAGTGCCTTCTACTTACAAAACACGTAATATATTTTTTCCATATCACTTCTTTCCAGCTGCTACATTCAATAAATCTCTAACGCGTTTAGAAGAATTACAGTCACAAATAACTACCGATTTGGAAAGCAACAAATCTCTCTTGAAAGGAGTACAAGAAAGTTTTGCATCAAATTTAGAAATTATAAGAAATAACATAGAATCATTAAACGAACGTATTCAAAAACTTAACAAGTGATAATTCATAACAATATGAATGATGAATATTCGTTATAAATTATGGCGCTTAAAATTTTTTCATATCTATTTATTCATA